GTTAATTGTCTAAGGTTGTTTTTTTTTTTTTCAAACTGACACCGATAAGTTTACATTAAGAGTTGTGTACAAATAAAGCAATTAATGGGAATTAACTTTGATTGCCGATAACTTTTTACGAGAAAATCCAAAACCAAGAGATCAATAACCTTGATTAACGCATATAATTGGTCGGCTGTCAGTTCTTAACTGTAAACTTTGGTTTTTGGTACGGTACTGGTTCTTTTCCTTTTAACCTTTAGTAGCAGCAAGAATCATTTTTACGTACCAACACATCACAGTAATTTACAAATTAGTTATCGTTGGTGTTGCACCTTATTTATTACAGGCGTAGGCCTATTCAATTTAATTGATGTCTTAACTGTATAATTTTTGCTTTTACTGTCTGGATTCCAAAATGTTATGCTAAGAAAACTATAACGCACTAGTGGCTTGTAGGGACATAAGTCCCTGAAAAGCTCAAATGTAAAACAACATATTGCAATTCCGGTATTTAAACAAACTCAGAATAACATTATCTATGTGTCAGAATAGGCATCCCTGTGCACCATATCTTTTGTGTAAAAACCAGTTTGTTGTTCTTCTTTGTTTGCTTTTGTTGATGTCATTTTCAATAAATAATTTGAATCACTCCAGTGGTTTAACATAAAAGGCAGCAAACATATCATTGTTTGTGAATAAATACTGGTTTACTAAGGTAGCTTTGGTCTTGTGGTTAATGAGGATAAATAAAAGCTTCCCTGTTTGGAATTTTAGAAATTAATTGGAGGTTCGCCTTCAGATGAATTGAAGACGCCTGCAATTTCATCTGCAGTAGGCTTATTATACCTACGACGATCTATATTTATCCTGTCTACAAACCTAAGTTCTAATTCACTGTCACCTTGTACAACCATTTCTTCCGAAGCTCTTTTGTAAACTTGTGCATATGGATTTTCTAATAGAATTTCAGCTAGTTTTGACAATATTTCAGGTTTTAAGTCACTATTTTCTCGACGCCTTTGACGAATTTCTGTTGCTGTTGATGTGTCAATAATGTACAATTGGCCATACACGGGGTCTTCATCATGTGGAGGCAGCAAATCTGATATTGAACGATAAATCTGTCCTTGAATTTTGAAACAGTATGGTCCTTTTCCTGGAATATATTTCTTACTGGCTGAAAAAGAAAAAAAAGCCATCGCACTGTTGTATTGTCGAATGAATTTATACAGTTGTGGGCTCTCTTCAAACAAATTTTTAAGTTCTACATTAGTTTTTGGCTGAGGAAGGTTAATAAGTCCGTTATGGCAACATGTCATAAAATAATTATTCGTTAGTTCTTCTCTAAAATGAAGAGCACTACATTGAATGCACTCTTGGTCCAGTAATCCTGCATCATGAATATTTACATTTCTCTCGTCTACCATGGGTCTCCTAAAAAGGGGTGGTAACATATCTTGATTAAGTTCGTCATTATCTACTCTTGCTCTTCTACGCACACTGTCATTCCTATGAACAGTTCCCCGCCTTTGTGGTATTCCCCTGGCGTTTATATTAAAAATGAAAAGAATATACCTATATCCAGCAGCCTACATACCAAAACATCTTGAATCCCTGGTGATTTTATAAAAGTATGATCGAATATGATTACTCTACATTGTATATTCACTGCACTAAAAAAATATTTACTTACGAAGGAATGCAAATACACCATTTTAGAACCAATAACATTTATAGGTTATTTTAGTTTTATATATTAACACAACCTTAACCTTAAAATGTGTAGAAATATAAAGAAAACAACATCATTTAAAATAAACTTGAACATATGATTTAAAAATAAAAACAAAACAGAAGTTGGATTTAATTTTGACTCTTTGATTATTTATACAGAATATTTATTCTATGTCGTTTATTCCTTTAACATGAAAATAACGTAAAAGCATGAAAAAATGAAACTTGAGTATATGATTTAAATATAAACAAAGAATGCAGACATTTTTCCGATTAATCTTCAAGATTTCAGTTTTATTATAGTATACATTTCATAGTTGACTGGCTAAAAGTAAACCAAATGCGTGTATTGATCACTGGTTTCAAGATATAGCACGATCAGCTGTATTGAAGTAAACAGAAATCAGCAGTAAATGACTTCTAATGCTATTCTTATGGAGAATATTTTACGTTGTATCTAATTTTGAATAAAAAAATAAGAAAAATGAATAGTTTTCCCTCAAAATTCACGTCAAGACCTTTAAAATAAGACCCCTCCCATCCTTCTACGGCCATCCAGTCACTCACAATTTCTTTACAAAAATTTGACTTACGGAATTATATATATAGATTTTAGTAAAACATTTATTCAGCAAACCATCATGAATTGTTCAAACACTTTGAACGTTGTTTATGTATCAATAGTTCGTGGCCTATTTTGGTAATTTTTATTACAAATTACCAATCTAAATCGTCTATAGTAGGCCTACTGTTCTTCATTTCATATACCGTAGCAAACCAATTCAGATAGCATTTTGACAGAATTTCGAGTCATCTCCGGTCCAAGCAAATATAAATTGTTATGATCAAATTTTATGGCATTAACAAAGATTTCAAGTACTAATTTTATATGTACTTTTTTATGCTTAAAGCGTAGCAGATTCCCTAATTAAGTTCGGTATTTTTGTGTGTATGTATGATGGTAACGCATTAATGTCCTTGTTTCTCAATGTTTCACGGAAAGGACAAGAGCGCCTTGATAATGAAAATGTCAACCCGAATAAAGTGTTTAATTAAGAGGTTGAGGTAGTACCTTAAATACTTTTAACCATTATGTTATAGTCCTTTAAATTCTGAACAAAATTGTACAAATCCCATTTCAGTATATTTACTCTCACCGCTTACACATGATAAAGGTTGTTGACAAACTTATGGGAGAAAGTATGTGTCAGAATGCTGATACCATTTATTTAGTTTAATCATTGGATATAACATATGGATCAACAAGATCCGGGTGACATTTAATTGCGAAGCATTAGTTTTGGCTTGAAACTGTCAGATAGGTACTGTATTTGCGAAGGAATAGTTTTGTCAGCATATCTGAAAGTATGCAAACCAACTGCTGTGCTTTATATAAGAAGGTTTTATTTCACTGACTATGATAAGATCCCCGTGCGTAGAACGGGCACACAGCTAGTCTATATATAAAGCCAAAAGTACCCATGATCTTTTGAGAAAACTACAAGTCACACCCCCATAAACCATATACTTAAATTGTTCGTCATGACGAGAAACCTTGCGTAAAACTATCCATTATAGGTTGTAATTCCCTTTAAGGTCGTAATTCCTTTCTAAAGGGAACTTTTCATATACCTAATTTTAAAAATACCTCAGCTGTACTTATTTCTTTGTTATTCTTTCAATTTATTGCCTTATTATAATCAGGTGTGATTATTTGTTTCTTTTACAGTGTTTTGTTTATTTCAGGTTAACTTAACCAATCAATAGTTTTATTAATACTTGGGGTGAAGCCCGTGGGTAACAGCTAGTTTATTTAACGCCCAATGATCAGGAACAGCTGGGTCCAGTTTCGAACCATCAAAAAGCTACTTGACTTTTCTCAGGATTGAACCGGCGACCTTTTGATTACCAGGGGAGCACTATAACCACTCAGCTACCCAGACAGTTTACCGGCATCCTGAGAACCTATTGTGGCCTATTTGTACAATATTAACTAACTGGAAATGTATGGCATACATTTAACTGAACTGGATGTGAAACCCATTCAATGAAAGTTACAATTAGTTAATGATTTACACACACACCAGACCTACATCACTATCACTATTCATTAAGCAACACCAAAACAACAGTTTGAGGTTAATTCAGTTGTTATCTGGTTGAGAAACAAGAATTTTTGGATTATGAAAAAAAGGTACGCCAACATCAATTCAACCCATCATAACAGAAGCTTGTCATGCAGATTGCAATGACATCATGGCACCCAGGGCACCTCCAGCCTTTTGGAGGGGCATAAAAATGACCATTCTTGAACCACTGGGAGATTACTGATCCCAGGGGAGGGTCTTGGTTAAAAGTTATATATTGAGTGATATTTAAACGTTGCTTTAGGTCCCTATTTTTTTATATAAACTAAATGTACATAATTGCCATCATTGTCTCTTTATTCATAAATCTCCACACCACTCCCATACTTTGCAGAGATATTTTTAACAGAATTCATAGTTCATTATCATCATTAAACAACACTTCTACTTTCTAGAGAAACAATAGTAAATTAATTGACACATCAAATACCAGCAGCACGATAAACATAACCTCTACGAATCACTAGATACTGTATTCACTTATTTGATGACAGTAGTAATATTGCGTCGTGTTTACGTTGTTAGTCAACAGACCGCAGCGCTCATTGTGGCAATAGTTAGAACTACTATTTGGATGGAGTCCCAAACGCCAAATGTGGCATTAGATCCTGATGCAGCGCAGTGATTAGTCAAATTTTTCCATGTGGTTTATATGGGAGTTTGGACTGATATCCACTGAGTAACCGCATAGGACTACTACCTGTTGCATGTTGCGTCCATTATCACCCATCCTATATTGACCTTGCTGACGTTTACTTGACACATTCAAATGTAGGAAATATTTATTTTATTATTATTATTTTTATTTTTTACTTGAAAATGGGAGGAATCGGTACCAGACTCCTTATGGACCAGCCCCCACTGGTGGGTTTAGAGCAGGGAGTTCTCGAGTAGAGATAAAGCCCACTTCGCAAAAGAGATCATTTTTAGTTTTCTAGTTAGGTGAACTCAAGCTTGAGCCGGACTCATTGTAAAGAGATTTATTCACCACTACTCAAGCCAGTTCATTTCCCACCTCTATGTTGACAATCACTCTTGTCAACGTAGTCAAAAACTGAAGTAAAATCAGTTCAACACTTAAATCAAAATTCATATCCAAGGGAAAAATATTAAAAAATAAAATGTTTGAAAACTTACCATTGGAATGCATTGAAGTGAAAGTACACCAGTCCCTGTCCATAAAGGAAGTTTGCGTCTTTCCAATAGTCTGGCTTCAGGTTGAAAAACTTCTGATACGCAGACATCGCTGAAACAGACCAGTTTCTTGTTGTTAATTGTATTTTACATGACACTTACACATTTAACTGTTTGATGTGTATTTTACATGACAAAAACATTAAAAAATATTTGGAAGGTACAAAGAGTAATGTTTAAGAATCTTTCAGTAGGAAAACTAGCCAAAATCCAAAATTAAAACCACCATACACAAGCCTTCAGTTGCCTGCACGAAGCTCTGGTATGTTGGAGTGGAAATGTACTCGTGACAAGCAGGAAGAGACCGAACAGCGAGCACTGTATGGAAATTCCTATCACGCAGGGCACAAGGGTCTTCCTTCACTGTTGGGAGGGCAGGGTGAAACTCTAATCATCTTACCTAAGTTACGCAAATCTTTTTTTTGTTTGCCTGCTGTTTCAATGCTGTTCAACACAGTTTTAATGTGATAACGTAATAAATTATAACTGATAGACTATAATCAACCGCAAAAGACTAAATATTTCCAAGACAAGGTGAAAATATGTAAGTTACATTAAAACTGATCTTCAGTAGGATATTTTTGTGATAACAGATCATTGACTTAAGGAACATTACTTGGTCCATATTGTTAGTTCTTGGGATTTTGCAAATCTTTTCATTTGGGAATTCTTTGAGTAAAGAGTTTTTTACATCCATCTGTTTGCTGTTTCTCTTAGAGTGAAATGCGATAGAATTAACAAAAAATATTGATTTGGATTAAAAGAAACACTCGGCTCTGGTATGTTAGTGAGTCGGTGCCTCAGTCGGTAGTGTCACCGGCCCAAGGCAGCGATGTTGTGGGTTCGGATCCAGGTCACTGCCACAAATATTTTATCAGTACAGTTTACCTTTGTACTGTACCGGCTCACCCCTTACTTTGCTAAGAAACAATCCCGCACGGGCAGTTAGTCTATGTGGACGGGCGAATGCAAGGTTAAATAAGGCCACCAACCTCTTTAACAAAATATTTGAGCGGGAAATTTACTTGTGATGAGCAAGAAAGTGCCCGAGCGGCCAGCACTGTGTGTAAATTCCTATTGCACTGTTGGTAAAATTATCTAACAATCATAGGTTAAAATAAAAATCTGATTTTCCTCTTGAGAGTTTAAAAACTTGCTAAATGTTTAGTATCAGTGGTAGCAGTGTTCTGTTGGATTCTGGTAAGCAACAGTATCAATTCAGGCCATACTAGGAGCATACTGGGCATCAGGCTTATCAGCAACTGATAATGGCTAATTGGGTCACACTCCCTCTTTGATGTTACTGTATAATGCCACTCTTATATATTGGCTGGAATACACATTTGAAAGTGGAATAGTGGTTTTTGAAGAGCAATAAAAGATTCACCGTGTATTTAACATCTTTTAGATTTAAGAGTTAGTAAGTTCAGCACAGGTTTTATGACAGAATTAATGGTAATTCCCTTGTTGTCATTTGAACCCTACATATTTTGGGGTTTGTGGTGATGTGGGTTTGTTATAGCCTAGATACCGCAAATTGCTAACAATATTGCTTATCCGAGGTGATCGAAACTACATTTGTGAACAGGCTTTGGTGAACAAATAGTTGGGTGTGTGTCCTAAGCCGTGAATTGTTCACCGATGCACTAGCCAGTACTTTATTACTGCTGCTCGACTAAGTTTACACCAAGAGGGATGAGAGAGCCCAATCACAACAATTGTCTTTAATATTAATATTATAAACACTAATAAAAAAAGTGTGATATTGTAGTTCAAAAATTCTCGATAATTTGATACTAAATTTCATGCCAATCACTTGACGTTTCCATATTTTATTCGTTTACTTGTAACATTAATTTACAATAGGGAACTTTCCAATTTTCAATTTTAAACAATAATTACATCCCAATTATTCCACAGAGAAGTAAGGTACAGAGGAAACTCGCTTAAGGGACGACCGTGTGCTTTCAGCCTTAGTATGTTGTGTCGGAAATTTACTTATGATGAGCAAGGAAGTGTTCCGAGTGGCAAGCACTGTGTGGAAATACCTATCGAAAAGGGCAAGGGTCCCCCCACCGTGAGCGTTGTAGTACATAGTGGCGAGGGGGCGGTGTTGGTCTTTGCTTTAAGACACCAGTAGTGCTAGACACCACTTAAGTGTGCCATTGAATGTTTCCTTTGTACCTTATATCTCTGTGATTATTCTAACAATATTGAAAAATGTACCAACTAAAGGGGAAATTAAATCAAACAACGGCTGTCAGGCCTACTCATTATCATGATTTTATTCTTGTAAATAGTATTTAAGTTGTATTGTGACGTGATATCATAACAAGTACGCTTATAAAATATGTTAAAGTTGATCGATTTGGTATTTAAAGAGGTATTTTTAGCTAAAAACAATATTTGTTTCATTTCTATGTATAATAACAAGGACAATTATTTGTTGTTAATGGCCTCTCTAGTCCCATTTAGGGTGAACTCAATCAACCGGCAGCAATAAAGGACCGGCGGTGGCCGCGCCGATGTACAATACCCAGGCTAGTACACAAATCCTCCTGGGTTCATCACATCTGTCCAAAACTATAGGCACAACTAAACCACTAACTTGTCTGTTTAACTTTTATGGTCGAAAATCCCAATAACTCTAAACTTTTAATAATTGATTCCTTAAAAAATATACTTTCACCAAGAAATTATTTGACAAAAAATTCCCATTCTGAAAAACAAAAATAAAACATGGATGGCTAAAATAACAATAACATAAAATATGTACCCTAAAAGATACAAATTTGTGACGGAAATTAATTTTTTTTTCAGACAAGAACTTAATAGGAACTCCCTAAAAATTCTCAGTGGAATGTTAAATAAACATAAGACAAAATGGAAGGCGAGTTATAATAAACATAGTTACGTAGTTGGTCATATCTATTTTGTATATAGTTGAAGCAAATTTATTTTACAACAATAGATTCAAACAAAACAGAAATGATTAACAGCATTTCTCACATGTAATCTTATCTTTTACTAACTATTTCAATTATTGCTCATTCAACTATCAGAAATTTTAGCTTTTATGAAAATGCAAAGAGTTTTTACAAACTATGAAGACATTAAACTACTTTTGGTTCTGACAGTTATATCTGCTCATTCGATGCAATCTAAAACCTCAAAAAACGATCAGTTGTTGGTTTTATGATTAGCGCGCTCTGGATTTATTTCACCATTTTGCTACTTATCCGTTACAAGGAATTAGGGGTGTTAGGGGTGTATGAGTTATTAGTAGAGTTTTTACAAATACTCAAGTATGAGTTGTTTAGTTCGAGAACAATCTACTACATTATTAAAATGACAAAGCCAAATTTGTAGTCATGGCTTACAGGTTACTAGCTAAATAATAATATAGGCATATGTAACATCACATCACACTAAAGCTTACAGTGTGCAGGTTTGCCAAAAATTATTGGTATGAAAAAATTCCCTAAGGGGTCTGCCTCACGGGCAGATTGTCTAAGAGCTTCTCTTACATGTTTTCAAAGTTAACATTATATATTTAATCAATAATAAACAGCTTTTCAATGCAATTAACATCTTTTTGTTTAATTTACACCAAAGTATAAACTAGCTGTTTGAAAATGTGTTTGTTTGATTGTTTCATGGATGCTTATTTTGTTATCAAACAAAAACTGCTACACTACACAGGAAAAGGTGTGGGAAAACAACATGCCTTGCTACAAAACTACGAATCTTGTAAATTCTCAAAAGAGCATCCAACCAACATTTTCTTATGTGGCGTTTCGTGTCTTGACTCCTATCGCTGAGGTTGAAGCGCTTGGACTACACTTGGCAGGAAAGAAACGGAAATGACACAGACCGGAACTGTATGGTCAAATACAATATAAGCTCAGTCTGGAATTACTCAAGCACTTAAGCTTGCTTACTTAAGTATATATGCACTTAAGCTGTATATATACTCCTATAAGAAATTGCAGTTTCCTTTCTATGTGTCATCTAGGGTAGCCCTAATGCCAGAATTTGTCCTTTTTGTTACCTTTACTATTCCTGTCTGTTCCGTCTAATTCCTTGTCTAGTGTAGTGAACCTGTAATAATTAGCTAGGTTAAGTACCTTTAGAGTAGTCCTCAAGCAGAAGATGGAAGTGACCGAGCTTGCAGTACGTTTTAGGATCGATGCTGATCTCTTTGATGTCAGATTCAGAGCTCTCCGTTGCTTTATTGGCCGATTCATCTTTCTTTTGCGTTTTGTTCCTCTCTTTCTCTTCCTGGGCTTGTACAAGCATCCGTTCCAGATATTTCACTGCCTACAAAAATTACAGTTTTACTGACCAAAGAGTAGTTTGCTTACTTCACTGGTTAGCGTTGAATAGCATCACAGGTGAACAAAGAAAATGAGAAATGTGGAGGAATTAGACTCTACCATTCACATAGCTTACGTTACAAAAAATTGTGTAAGCATATTTGTTTTAAAATATGTAACTTAGTGTAAAGAAAAAATACACCACAATTTTTTAAATGAAATTATAAATTGGCTTGAATAGTTCTCCACACCAGTTAACCTTCGACAAATAAATAAAAATTCCCTTTTAACAATCGTAGACAAAAGGTTGCACTCACATAATTTGAATCTGTCCAAGTATCTAAAGGCGATTTGAATTCAGTAAAAGCACACTGAGTTTAAAATTACTTTATATACTTTGGACTGATTCAAGCTCTAAAATGTCCATAGCCTCTGTTACATACTGTATACTCCAGTCCTATATTTAAATGTGAGGTTGCTACCTTTAAAAAAAATGTTGACTTAGCATGTTCTAGGTAGCCTTTACTAAACACAGACAAACCAGACATGTTTCATTAATAAAATAAACCACTACTTTATAGTTTCAAAATTGCAAGTGAAAAGGTTATTTTTCCCAGATTTATAAACAGTAGGTAGTTGATACGCTGATTAATAAAAAAATATACTATATATTACCTTTACAACCAGCTCTTTCTTCTTGCTCTGTTCAGGCGAGTTTAGTTTGAGAAATCCAAACTGCCGACTGGAACAAAAGAAAACAATATGGATTATTACAAATCTACTTTGACTTTATGATTTGACTTACCCGGATGAATTATTTTTGCATACAGGAAAGATATACAGTACAGAATTTACAAAAAAAAATTAAGAAAAAAGAAAATACGGCCAACCTAATTACAGTGGAACCTCTTTAATCCGAACCCTCGTAATCCGAACGTCCACTAATCCGAACGCCTCATTGCTGTACTCTATATACAGTACAGTAGTTCTTTATTGGATACTGTATTTATTGGTAGGCCTATACATATTGTAATTGTTTCTATTGTAATGTAAAGTACTGTTTATACCCTGTTTCCTAATGTATTAAATAAACAATGTATTTTACTTTATAAAGCATTTTTCACTTTTCCCTAGCAATTGTTATGTAAAAACAACAATATGTTCTGTAATCCGAACTATTCAATAGTCCGAACTACCCCCGGTCCCAATTAGTTTGGATTAAAGAGGTTCTACTGTATTATAGTTATCCAACTCAAGGTTCTTGGGAGTCATTTGGAGTAGATTTAATCATTGCGTATGTCTGTGACAGAGAAGAGGACCACCAACTTCACAAGACATAAACTTAAATTTTTTTATAAAGGGAACAGTCCAAACGCTGGTCGTGTTACTATCTTACGTCGACCTTTTGTTAGATATTGGCATTATTAATTGATACCCAATATATAATATTTATTGAGCCCAATGACAAATGGTGTCTGGATTCTGAAACACTCTGTGACTGTGTTATGTTGCTTTGGGACCTTCACAGTTGGAAGCAAACACTATTTAACCCCACTTGGTTACCCAGACAATCAAGTTTCGTTGAAAAATTATCAAAAATATAAATTAATAATTAATCCCTAAATGTTGACTGACTACAGCTTGTTGCAAAGAATAGGAAATTTAAAACCTGCAGTGGCTGATCAACAAAATTTGATCCGCAACCATAATTTTCCAGAAAATTTCACAATAGGTTTGTGCCGTGTTAACATGTTCGCTGCGTTTGCGTGATGGCCAACCGCCGCCTGGCCTGGTGCAGGAACAGTGAATGTGCTGCGTGGATGAATGCGCAAAAATGATTAAATTTAGTTTCATCGAATAGGAGAGGCATATTATAACATGTATCGAGTTACAGTCGTGGACATAGTTTTACAACTTGGACCAAAAAGATAGCAGCACTAAACAAAATTCCTAACAGACCCTCAGTATTGCCAAACAGAGGGAAAAAGCAGGGGTTTAGTACTCGGATAGACCATAAAAAAACACAAAAAAACCTTTAAATGAACTGCACCAAAATGATGTACGAAACCGGCACTAAACGCAGGGTGACAATAGCAACGTTCCCCGCCGAGTTCTGAGCTTAAAATAATTATTATAGTAATCCGCAGCAAACGTGATAAATACAGTCTGGGTAGAAATCTGCCTCTTGTTCCTCTTTCTACCTAGAAATGGCCTGGACCTCAAACCATTGGCTAGTCCCCAAGTAGATGGAGGGTCGGGAGACAGGTTCCATCATAAAAAAATACATTGGAGACCCTCAGCTCACTTTTCTTTTAAGTAGGTACCTATTACTGATACACTTGTTTTCTAGAAAAAAATTGGGTACTTCAGTATTAAACGGAGGCCACATTTTGTCAGCGCGCTGCGGCGGTTATGTTAGGTTGGGTTATCATAATAGAAAGTATCGTTCGATTCATAACGAAGCGAGGAAAGTCCTACACACATAATATTTACGATAACCCAACCTAACATAACCGCCGCAGCGCGCTGACAAAATGTGGCCTCCGTTTAATACTGAAGTACCAAAAATTGAATTTGAACAAAGATTTTAAATGATGTCATAGGCTACTTTAAAGGTTTTTTCTACTTGCCAAGTAATAGTAAGTAGGCTATAGCCAATAAAAATAAAAAAAGTGAAAACTCTATTGGTGGTGTTGGTGGTGAACACAAGAAATATAAAATTGTACCTAAGTTAGTTTGATGCTAAAAGACTACGGTAGGCCTAAGCAAAATAATCCTTTTGTGAGTTCAAAAATGTTTTGTTTGGTTAAATGGAACTAAGTTACCGTACTCAAACGATATTAACATTTAAGTAAGAGTTATCAAATTAAATATGTAGTTATTATTTAAAAGTTGAAGCAGAATGTCAATGCAAATGTACTGTAAAGATAATTGCACTTGAATGACTTTTGAAGATGAGTCATTCTGATGAAGCTATTATAGGCCTACTGCTTAAGTAATTTGTCAGTATTGTGATTTGGTTAACTGATTCAATGAAGAAATACCCCTGCCACAGCAAACCTGCAGACTAAGCGAAATTCCATTTACCAGTGTTTGATTTTAAATTAGGTAAATTTTAAACATAAGGTTTAACGAGGTGCCTAGGTTTGCTGCTACAGGGAGGTTAATAAAGTGTGTTTTAGTCAAATATGAAAAGCTTAGTATAAAATAAATACATTTGCCAAGTTTGATAAATATATACCTATACAAACAAGCAAACTACAACAGTTTACTCATTCTCCATAAGAATAACATGGGAAATTTAAATTTAGGCTAGAATTTATTCAATTTTCTCTGTAACCAAAAACCGCACAAAAACACTCTGATACCTATATTAAATTATTTGTTTTTTAAGTGCAATGGTCTTACCACTAGTAGGCCTATTCGTGGTTCTTACTTACCCTAATTATTATCGTGGACCCTTCAAGGCTAAATTATTAATATTTAGTTGGAGCTGGACTCCACAAGCGCCCCTCGAGTGTTTAAGAGGTTAGCGGCCTCTTTTACCAAGCATCTGCCTATCCACCACAGGGGCCTGTGCGTGGAACGTACCCAGCAAAGCAATGGTTGAGCCGGTACAATACACCGATAATAAAGTAGTGGCAAGTACTATGATCCGAACCCAATTTCACAGAACTAATTAATTATGAGGGCTAGGCCTAGTGATTAAATTTTGAAATTTTGTCAATCAGTAGGTACAGTAGATCCCCTCTTAACCGACCCTAATGGGACCGGACCTACGTCGGATAACTCAAAAGGTCGGTTAAAACGGGCAATCCCTAAAATCATAACATAATGAATTGCTATTCATTTGGAATTATATAATCAATATTTTTAAGTCATACTTGCATTATTTATAAAATAAACTAAAAAGTCACAAATAAACACAAAACACGGTTAAGTCTAATAGGCCTACTTTCAGTGGAATATATTATAGTACTAGGCAACAAGGAAACAGTCAATAAAATTTCTATTTTAATAAGTTTAGTACTGTAATGTATTAATTGATGCTTTCCAAATCCATCGTAATACAGTAGCCTACAGAACCTCTTGTCGAAATTAAAGATACAAGCAACCATTTTGTTACAAAGGAACAGGATGTTTATTTATAAACCCTCACTGTAGGCTTGAGCGAGACACAAAAACTATCTTGACCTTGGAGTTGTTAACCCCCCTACCCTGCCCTCCCTACAAGTTGCGTTGTTTGTTTACTCTAGCGATAAGATAATCAGTTCTCAAAATCATAACGCACTTTATGATGTTATAAATTTGCCGCACAGATAACATATCAGATCAGATGTGCTCGAGCTACGATAACGAACGATGATGACAAACTGACAATAGGCTATGCTAGCCTATATTTTTTGTGATCAATACAAAATAACCTATTCTTAGTCATATCCTGTAGAGATAAGCGTATGGTTCAGTTCTCATCGCCCAGCGTGGGAGCGGAAATGCCGAGATTCCTAGAAAGCGGCGGTTAAACCGAACTGCTCTCAAAGCAAGGTCGGTTAAAACAAACTGAATTATTTCACGATCGAAGGCGGATAACCCGATTATCGGTTAATACGAGGTCGGTTAAGAGGGGGTCTACTGTAAGTTAGGGCCTAAGTTGCCGTTATAAAATAGCCTAGAGGAACCAAGTGTTACCTAACATTTCACTTACCACTAATTTAAACATGTTAAGGTATGTTAACTTAGGTAACCTAACTTATTACAATTTATTTAGGCCTATGTTAAACTTGAAACTAATTAGGCCTAAGTTTAAGTTAAGTTAGGCCCTACAGTTTTTTATACTAACTTACCTACCCAATCTAAGGTTCATTTTGATACACATTTTGCCAACTTAGGTTTGGTTTGTTTAGGCACAGTTGCTTTGTTTTTTTTAATCAGGCCGTTTCAAGTTTAATAACTTTGCCTAACTTAACTTAGCCTATCTTGGTTCCAAATTTAACACTTGTAAGCTTAAGCATTTGTATTATTACATTTTCGATGTCCAAATTGGGTGGATGTCATAAGTTAACTGTTAACTAATTAATTGACCTAACCCATGATTAAGTAGGGCCTATGTCTTATGAAGATACGGTACCCATAAGAAGTAGGTTACAGAGAGATGATGACCTAATTTTTATTCTTAGGATCCCATCTGGGTTGAACTTGCAATATAAGCACGGTAAGTAAAGTGGTATGACTTAAGGTGAAATAATTACACCCATTCGCGATGAGGTTTTTAAAATAATCCTAAGTTAAAAGTTTCTTTTCACACCTAACCTATTAGGACAAGCAGACAACACCGTGGAGGTTACGCCCCCTCGAATTTGATACAAACTAAATAAATAGAGGGAAGGGAATCCGTGTTTTATATACATCAATATCATAAAATAAAGATCAAAATATCACTATGTAAGGTAATAACATCACAATTTAAGTGCCTTAGTAAAAAAAAGTAAACTTAACTTAAGTAGCCATTTCTCCGTACCTGTCAAGTTCCGATAAAACTTGCAGTTCTTGGGGCGTTAAATTAATTTCGTCAGTTTCTTGAGCCATTTTATACACAATTCACTAAACCATCACAAATAATATTCACTCACAACAAAACACAATAGTAAACACAACAAAAACTTCAACAAATCCAAACTGACATTTCTATGGCTAGACGACAGACAGCAGCCATATCAGCTATCATCAGCAGTTTAGACACGTTCTCTCTGGGATTCTGGAAAGAATATTTATGTAGCTGCTTAGTTAAATTAAGTTTTAATAAGCTATTTTTAGAGTTTTAAGTTAACTACGTAATTCCTAACTAATTTCTAGCCTTAAAACAATAAAAAGTAATTTAATAATAGTCTTATATTACAAATAAGCCATTTGTACTTTCCAGAAACCCAGCCATACTTCCACAAATAAGAGTATGAATGACCTTTTAGAGTTCAAGCATAAAGCATTTTAATTAGTTATCGGGACAAAAGATAGAACACCCACACAATATTTGAAAATTTCTAATATTTTTCAAATTTCCTAAAAGTGCTTTTACACGATGAAAGAAGTATGTCAAGAAAATTTAAGGAAGTTAAAAACTTTCCAAAAACTTTCTTGAGTTAGCTCTCCAGTGTCCTCTGTTCTCTGATGTTCTATGTAACTTCCTTTTAAATTTGTATCATGGAATTAATTCCATGAATATAATATATAAAAAAATATAATATATCCAGAAAAATAATAAAAATCTATGATTTCCTATTATTTAAAAAAAAACAAAAAAACTAGGCAACTCAGGCGTGTTTAAATTCCTATTTAATGTATTTAACGTAGGTAGTGAAAATCAACAATAATACTTAGTAGAAATAGTATTAACTTTTGTTTCCTTTTTTAATGCACTTTTCATATTACAACTTAAATTTATATTTTTCTTTAATTTTTATTCATAAAACTAACCATTGACCATGATTAAAAAAGGATGCTTCTAATTTGTTTCATAAAACATAATCTATAACTATTTTTCATTTATGAACACAAAATTTTATTTTGTTTAAATCTTCACAAACAAACCACACTTAATAAATAATGGAATATTCCTATATTAATTACAATCCTTCCTTATATACAGGAAGTTTCACGAGAGGTGTCTCAAATTGATTACGGAAAAAAGGCTTAACGTAAAAAGGATGAAATAAAATTATTTCCCGCTAAATCGACCCCAAGGAACGTAAAAATATTTTTAACTTTTTCCCAATACAGGGTGTGCCAAAAACTGAGGGTCGCTAGTTCGAATTTTGGAATTTTCAAATGTAAACATATGTCATGTTTTACATCGTTTTAAAGGTATTTGATAGACAAACATTTTGGCGAAAATAGAAATTAAATATCTTTTTCCGTTTCAAAATGGCGGTAGTTTTTTTTAAAAAAATCTATAGTTTTTTAATACTTTGTGTTTCCTATAACAATGCATTTTAAAAACACTTGCTTCTCCGGTTAGATTTTCTTACTCGTTATGAAATTAGCTTTACTTTGATATGCTACAAGCAACGGTTATTTAAAATGATAAAAATTTAAAAAAAAAATTATTTTTGCAAATTTGCGAATGCTCATTGTTCAAAATTTTGAAATAGCAACATATGCCTAGTGGCACATCATTTTATAAGTTTTTAAATTCCTAACAAATTTGTAATTTACACTTGCCTTGTATCTCTTTTAGTTTTTGTTTAAATAACAAAAAACCTAATTTTCCTATATCAAATGCATGTTATTTGGGTTTAACACTAAAGGCTCCATTTCATTAAGTGTTAAACCACGTCAAACCAAAATAACATGCATTTGATATAGGAAAATTAGGTTTTTTGTTATTTAAACAAAAACTAAAAGAGATACAAGGCAAGTGTAAATTACAAATTTGTTAGGAATTTAAAAACCTATAAAATGATGTGCCACTTGGCATATGTTGCTATTTCAAAATTTTGAACAATGAGCATTCGCAAATTTTCAACAATAAATCTTTTTTGAATTTTTATTATTTTAAATAACCGTTGCTTGTAGCATATCAAAGTAAAGCTAATTTCATAACGAGTAAGAAAATCTAACCAGAGAAGCGGTAAATGCATTGGTATAGGAAACACAAAGTATTAAAAAACTATAGATTTTTTTCAAAAAAAGTGCCGCCATTTTGAAACGGAAAAAGATATTTAATTTTTGTTTTCGCCAAAATGTTTGTCTATCAAATACCTTTAAAACGATGTATGACATGACATATGTTTACATTTGAAAATTCCGAAATTCGAACTAGTGACCCTCAGTTTTTGGCACACCCTATATTGGGAAAAAGTTAAAAATATTTTTACGTTATTCCTTGGGTCGATTTAGCGGGAAATAATTTTATTTCATCCTTGTACGTTAAGCCGTTTTGCCGTAATCAATTTGAGACACCTCTCGTGAAACACCCGCCTGTATACAGGTTGAGTTTTAAATGAGTTCCCCCCCTACTATTTTCTACATTTCATAAGATATCATTTCGGACTACATCAGATCATTGTAAGTCAGTACTTACTTGTAAGTACTTCATTTTGACTGGGTATACATTTTTTACCGCCATCTTGGATCCGCCATATTGGATACAAAGTTTGTTTTTCAAATGTAAAGGTAGGGTTGTGACCCATTATTTTAAACAAGAATTTTACGCTGATTACAATGTCGCAAATAGTTTTTAAAAATCTTGATCCGTTCTAAAGTTATGAGAACTTTTTATAACTTTTTTTAGCCCATTTTAACATTGTGCATTTACAAACTAAGACCATAATCTCAAAATAGTGCTAGATAACGATAAGTATACACCACCATTCATTGTCGACCTATTTTCACTTAATTATGACGGATGTAATTTTTTCGGCCGCCATCTTGGATCCGCCATTTTGAAATGAGATGAATTAATTTAAATATGAAGGTGGTTTTGTGACCCATAATTTCGAGCTACTTTTTTATGCGGAACTTAATGCCGCAATCCGTTTTTCATTTGCATCTTTGATTTTTAAAATATTGAAATTTTAAATAAGAGAATATTAATATTTCATCAAGAAAGCTTTATAACCATAAAATAAACGGATTGCGGCATTGAGTTCAGTATAAAAAAAGTAGTTCAAAATCATAGGTCACAACACCGCCTTCATATTTAAATTAAATGATCACATTTAAAAATGGCGGCCGAAAACATTACATTCGTCATAACCAAGTGAAAATAGGTCGACAATGAATTTTGGTGTATACTTATCGTTATCTAGCACTATTTTGAGATTATGGTCTTAGTTTGTAGATGCACAATGTTAAAATGGACTAAAAATAAAGTTATAAAAAGTCCTCATAACTTTAGAACGGATCAAGATTTTTTTTAAACTAATTGTGGCATTGTAATCAGCGTAAAATTTTTGTTTAAAATAATGGGTCACAGCCCTACCTTTAATTATGAAAAAAAACGTTAATTGTATCCAATATGGCGGATCCAAGATGGCGGCCACAAATGTATACCCAGTCAAAATGTAGTACTTACTACTGTACTCTACAATAATCTGATAAGGTCCGGAGTTGATATCTTGAGAAATGTAGAATAAAGTAGTGGGGGAACTCATTTAAAACTCACCCTGTATAATATACGTCCCCCCCACTTACTACCCCCACGACACCCCACACTTCTGTGCATTACTTTTTCATATTTATTAATATTTTATGGTCTTTCTTGTTACCTTTATTGTTAAGTTTTGAAATTTGTTAATATTTGTAAATTTTTTAATAAGTGGCCACACGATACGGATTGTCCGCGCGGTTGGAGCTCATTTTCAAGCATTTCTGGTTGTTTTTTTTTTTTTTTTAGTTTGTACTTGTGCGTTTCGGTTTATAGCCCAGGAATTTTAGAAAAAATAATGCCCTAAAATAGAACAAATTAATAACTAGCTGATTTTTGGTGTGGTGTTAGTATGTCATTAGGTAAGTATTTTCTGAAAGTTCCCCTCACTTCCTCCGCTTGCTTCACTCAGTAAAGGGCTACAAAGGGTCTAAGTGACGTAAATATACAAAAATATTTATTGAGTGACACCAATGTCACCAATTTTAGTGGTTTTAGTCTTAAATCATTCAGAGTGAAAGTAGCCATGCTAAATAATCATCGCAACAATAATTCATAGCACTTTAGGGTGTTTTATTTTATATATTTTAATTTTTATAGTCAATTTTAGGTTATATAACGCGTTTTTGCTGAGAATTTCAGTTTTTGACAGCTACTACCCCAACTTATTATTATTTGTTATTTGTCCTAAAATATATTCAAGAAAATTTTAAAATCAAGGAAACAATTATAAAAATCATTAGTGTGTTTTTGGATGGGCATAGTTAGACCAAAATATAGATGTAAAGTTAAGAGCACCAAACCGCAGTGTATGAATCCTTCGCGCATTTTTTACTATTTAATTTCTCATTTATTAACTTAAAATGTTCTAATTAATATATAAACTCACATAAAGAATGCTGGTAAATAATAATATTAAAAACCCTCATATCCATGGATACGAAAAAATTAATCATAAAAACTACAGGGTGTTGAGAAATTTAAGTTTAGATATTTTGGGGTGGCAGCTCTGAAAAAAAATGTTTGCCCAACAATGCTTTCACACATGTTATTATGTACGTAGACAGCTTTATACATAAAATACCCCCGCCGAAGCAAACCTGCAGACTAAGCAAATTTCAATTTCCCTGATTTGGATTTACACTAAAATGTCTCCTTAAAAATATCACAATTATTCCTTATTTAAATAACATGGTACTTAGGTTTGCTGCATCAGGGAGGGTAAAAAGGTGTTTTTTTTTGTAAAATGTTAATAGTTTAGTATGAAATGAATCCATTTTCTAAATTTGATCAAAATATGATCATAAACAAGCAAACTACAACAGTTTACTTATTCTCCATAAGAATAACATACAAATTTTAAATTTACAGTTTTTTGGAATTTTCTTCATAACCATTAGGCGCATAATAACGCTTCAATATACTAAATTATTTGTTATTTTAAGCTCTACAAAATGTTTTGGAAAGAAAATGCAAAATTTTAAGTTTTTAAGGTAAAAAATGGGAAAAACCAATTTTTGCCCATTTTTTGCTTACCATGAGTACTACGGTAATAGCTAATTCTCTATAGG